AAAAAAATTTAATAGATATTATTAATTAACTTTAAGAATTATGAGGGGTCGGATACTTATGACCGCTACTGTATAAATAGATTAAGAAAACTTAGTATTTTTAGGTTTTATAAAAGTTTTTATATCTACTTTTATTTTTTTTTTAAGAATTTTAACTTTTTGTAATTATTTTTTTTTATAAATTAAAAATAAAGATAATTCATTTTTCAATATAAATTTAGTAACATAATGTTAATAAAATTAAATATTTTTCATTATAATAAAAAAAAAATGATATTAGATGCATTTTTTTTAATAAAATCATTTTAGAAATAAAATTCTTCAAAAAATCAATCTGGAAACAAAATCTTGCAAGAAAATCATTCTAGAAATAAAATCTTTTAAGGAAATCATTTTGGAAATGAAATCCTTTAAGAAAATTATTTTGAAAATGAAATTCTTCAAAGAAATCGTTCTGAAAATAAATTCTTTAAGGAAATCATTTTGAAAATGAAATTCTTTAAGAAAATTATTTCAGAAATAAAATCCTTCAAGAAAATCACTTTGAAAATAAAATTCTTCAAGAAAATTACTCTAGAAAAGAAATCCTTAATGAAAATTGCTTTAAAAGTAAAATTCTTTAAGAAAATCATTTCAGAAATGAATTCCTTTAAAGAAATTTGATTTTATATATATTTTTCTTTAAGAAAATGTTGCTAAATGCATTTTTCTTCTAAAAAAATATTATTGGATTTATTTTCTTCAAAGGAAATGTCACTAGATTTATTTTTTTCAAAAAAACATCACTAGAACCATTTTTCTTTAAGTAAACGCCATCAGAGCAGCTTTTCTTCAAAGAAAATTTCTTTTAAATTTATTTAATTCAAAGAAGAAAATGCAAGGCAATGAATTGAGTTATAATACAAGTTAAGCTACGATATAAGCTAACTTGTCAGACTTATAGCTCATTTTATAGTGGCTTGAGCTAAGCTTAGACAAGCTAGCTTATTGGTTTGTAAGCAGCTCAGCTTATTGTAAAGCTCTATATTTTACAAATAATATTTGGATAACTTTTCAGCAATTATCATCTAGTATTCATTAATTTTTTTCATATTAGATATATTAGCAATCTCACTTGATTTAGCATATGATTAAATAATATATTGTTTTTTAAAATTAGTTAAACAACCTGTAGATATATTAAATTCTATAATGCTAAATCTATTTGTAAATTGTTTGATCTTTTATTATAATATATCTTCATATAATGTTTGATTTATAAACAAAAACTGACATCCAATACTAACTACCTTTATCTATTTCTTTATACATTAATTCTTAAAACCTTTTTTCAATCCTAATTACTTAATTTAATAGTTGAGTATTATAAAATTACTTAAGGTTTATTTGATACTATTATAATTTATATAAAAAATATATCAATTTAGAAGTTTCGGATTAGTTTAAAGATTTTTAGCTTAATAATATTATTACGTTATAGATGTTTTTTCAAAACCTTCTCAAAATAATTTCGTTATATTCTTTATTATGTTTTAATATAATTTTAATAGCTTTAAATAATAGTTATTGCATCAGTCATACAAAATCATACTTTGTAATAATAAAAGTATATAAAAGTATAATTTACTGATAGGGATTTTTTGCTAATTTCAAAATGCAACATGCTAAAGAAAAAGAATTTCATCATACCAATATAAGATTTTTAATAACTTTATTATTTACATTAGCTTATATTAATTTTCTTAATAACAAATTTTTTCTTGAAAAGTATTGAATTAATTAAAGTTTTCTTAAATAAAAGAATACTGAAATTGTTACTAATAATCGGATAGAAACTTTTCAAAAATCTTTTCAATATGAGGGTAAAATAGAGGACATATGTAAATAAAGATGAATAAGTAGTGAGTAGAAAAATAAAATAGTCTCATATATTCATGGATGGGTCCACACCAGTTCGTCTTTTAAGAAGGCTATTCTTTTTTAATGCTTGCTTATTGGGATTACGTGGTGACGAACAACATTTACTATATGTTTCTAGTTTTAAAAATAATATGATGTTATCATTTATACGAGGATTTATATTAATAAAGGTAAAGCAGATTATCTAACATTGCCAAATCAACCGAAATCATTAAAGATTATGAAAGATACTTTATTTCTAGTCAGTATCCTTAAACAATTTTGAATATATTATATATTATATAAATTATTGTTAATCATCTATATTTTTGAAATATGGTTTGAGAAGAAACTTGTCGGATATAAAAGAATATAAACCAGATCGTAAAATATTGAAAGAACAATGTTAATATAAGGATTCCAAAGATTGGAAGTTAGTAAGGAAGAAATAGCGTTATAATCACGACATAAATCTCTTGAAGGAATATATAATACATCCCGAACAACATCATCATGATGAACGAATTTGCAACTAAGTTTTTTTATAAAAAAAATGGATGTAAATAGCATATAGATAACTTTTGGTTTCATTTCCACCATACACTTAAATTCTATAAATAGTTAATCTTAAATAGTTAAACAAGTTCGCCCGAATATCTGTGGTTGCAGGCAGATGATCGACAGGTACTGTATGGTAATATAATATGACATCATTTTGATCATTGTGGCTTTTACCAACTTGTTTAGGTAATAATAATAATAATAATTAAAGTTTTCTTTTATTACACAAATTTAAAATTTCCATCCTGTAAAAAAGTATTGCTTTATGTACTCATTTTTAGAAATGATCAATCATTTGTTCATTCCAAATATGTAAGGTAATTAGAAATAGCATTTCTGTTTCATATTTACAGTATATATTTATATAATCTTTCCCGTTTTTTGAACAAAAAAATTTTTTCAATATTTAATCTCTTAATAAATGTAAGGAGAAAATGAGCAATAAAATAAATGAAAAAGGTCCCGAAATAGTAATAGAACAGCAAAGCACATCACCCTTTGTCAAAAAAAGATCATTTATGGATGATAATGCTAGTGAAACTAGTAGTATTAAAGGAAAAGAAAGGTTCAAAGCTTTAACTAAAAAAGTTATTGCTGTCCAACGCCTTCTTTCAGGTATTATACATAAAAAAAAGAAAGGTTTTAAAAATTATGTTTAATTGGTGAATGGCTAAAAAATTGAATTTTGATTACTTGTAGCGGACCAGATTTTTTCTGTCGGTCAGGACCCAGGAATTGACCCAAGAACTGTCGATTATGATCTTCATGTAAGATTAGCATATTTTTATTAACTTGAAGATTCGATTGACAAAGTACATTTTTCATAATTTACCACTCGTTATCAAATATTACAGAACAAGTGTGATATTTTTTGTTCAGATTTCAACGAAGAAAAAGCATTTAATACCGAACGATTAACGAACGAATCATTAGAAGCTTTCCTCCAAAAACCACGTCCATCAGGAAGTAAAGTACGATGGATTAATGTCGACGGAATTTCTTGGGATGTAATTAAAATTCTTGCCATCTATTATGGTATGCTACAAAAAAGATATAAACTAATCGTCAAATGTGAAAGGAAGCTGACAAATTTTTTTATTTATTTTAGATTTGCACCCGTTAGCTATTGAGGATATTTTACAGAGTTCACAACGTAGGCTCTACAAAACAACTACGATCTTGTATTAATTGATATCTAAATTGTATAACTTATCGATTTGTTTAATTCATTTACTTCAGGAACGAAATTGGATCCATATAAAGATCATATTTATGTCTCGCTATTGCTCCATACTCTAGTTGATTCCGAAAAAGACCTTCAAATAGATAATAGCGACGATGATAGTTCGACTGATGGAAGAGTAAGATCTCGCCAGGATTTATTGCATCATGGTCATCGTGAAGATAGCAGATATTTGGAGGCTCATAGACTTTACAGGAAACAAAAATTATATGTTGCTGTTGAAACAGTTAACATCTTCTTACTAACCAATGGTAAGTTATAATAACGTAGTATATCTTTTTGTTAAATGATTGTCACCCGTTTAACCATTTCTATCTGGGAATCATAAGATATTCTTCTTACCATCTTCCAACATAGCGGAAGACAAGTTTTTAAGCCCATTCTTTCACGTATAATCCAACCCAAGACTTTATTAAGAACTGCACAAGATGCGAGTTTATTAATGGAAGCTGTTATTGATGCTATCGTAGATTTGTAAGCATCTAATATATGTCTTAAAAGTTTTAATAACTATTCATTTATTTCTATTCATTTTATAATTTATATAGGGCTATTCCAATCAAGGATTCTTATCGACACCAGATAGCTGAATTGGAAGGAAGGTTACTGATTCGACCAAAGTTGTATCACACACATGGTGAGTTCTTCGGTTAACCCAAGAGTTTCATTTTTTACGTGTTTATTTTTTAATTAGGTATTTTATTTTCAGAACTTCATATGATTTCCGGAGAATTGACTATTCTTAAAAGAACTTTGGGACCTATCCAGGGTCTGGTTACTTTGTTGAGAAATCACAAACATGAGAAAGAACTGATTTCTTCCACAGCTAAAACTTATTTTATGGACGTGGCGGTGAGTTGGTTTTTATTAGAATAGTTGATTTAATAAGATCTAATTCCATTTTTGGTCGGACAGGATCATTGCGCAGAAATTGTTGAAGATCTAGACACTATGACCAAAATAACGGAAAGTTTAGTTAATATGGTTCGTATTTATTTTACTGGTTGCAATACGGTTTTGCCGCATTTTGGTTACGAATGACATTAATAAATGTTTGCAATCTTCGATTTAGGTTTTCAATATGATTTCTTATGAGGTATCGTGTTTGATAATATTCTTTTTAGGGACTTATTATTTTTTCAAAAATTTTAATTTTTTTTTTATTTGTATAAAATCAGACAAATGAAAATATGAGAACTATTGCAATTTTTAGTATTGTTTTCTTACCGATGACTTTCATAGCAGGATGTATGTAGTTGCCTTTTAAATCAAAGTTCGTGAATATTTGTTTGTATACGATATTCATTACCTTAACCTTTATAATAAATAGATTATGGAATGAACTTTGATAGAGAAAATTTTGCGGATTTGGGAGAACCATTGAGGTATGAATATTTTTAATTATTGAATCGAAAATAATTTACAATGAATATATTTAATAAAATATTTTCTTTTATAACAATAGTTACTTTTGGAGGTTAACTTCAGTTGTTACCGTGTTAATGTTTATAGCAGGAACTTATTCTATATGGACCAAATGGGTGTCCAGATTAATTAGGTATCTTTATAAGAGGAGATCAATGAGGCGAGCTGAAGCCGCGAAAGCCCGACAATCCAAATAATAATGCATATATTATTTATTTAATATGAAGATGTATATTTTAGTGTATATTTAAAATAATGAGTTATTGTAATGTATGATTTTGGTAGTGGGTGGTCATGTGCGCGTACACATGATTGATGAATTTCCGCACGTTCAAAAAAAAAATTGTGCGCAGTCCGCACTTATACATCATTAGTAAATATTTAATATAAAATTTGCGCACTATCCATCACAAATCTTCGCACATATTCTCATCATATAGCGTGCATTTTCCGCACATGTTTAGGTTTGAAAATCATATTGGATCACCGTGGGAAAATAATAGGGATATTGATTGTTAAAATTCATAATTCAAATTCAAAATTCAAAATTTGTATTTCATTATATTGATTGTTTCAATTGATTAATTTTACTATTTTTATCATTTTTATTTAATAAAATAATTACGTGAATATTTTAATCACCACAAAAAATTTCGAGTCCTTAAAATAAACCCCACCTCAATTGAACGCGGGTGAAATTTTTTAGTCACCTGATTGTTTTTGTAAACAATGAAATAAACAGAAAGACCAGCTTCCCTTTCTTTTGAAAACTTTTTCACGTCCTATACGATTGTCCGATTGATAAATTTTAACGAGTGGTGATAATCAAATCGATGAAATAATCAAGTCTTTACAAAATAAAGCAGTTAGAAACCACTTCTTGTAGTGGATACATCTTAGTTAACTTTCTAGCAAAAATCACATATCAAGTGAGATTTATCTTCCGTTATTTGGTTTAGGTCGAACCGAAAAGAAGTCCACAATGTCAAGTCGCGATTAAATTCTTTAAATCGAATGATGACTTTATGCGGGAGGTAACGCGTATTTATTATTATATGTGATCAAAAATGCTTTATCTTTATTATTAAAATATTAAAATGAACTTTTTTTTTTTTTATATCAACAATTAAGTCTGCTTTCATAAAATGATCAAGTCTTGTTGTTATTAAATTTTAAGAATCGAAGAAATTTATATTGACAAAAAAAATAAATCCCCTTTTTTTCTTTTTTTTTTTTCTTTATCTTTTCTTCGCGTTTATGGTGTTACCCAAAGATCGAACGGAAATTATGGAATCGTGATGCAATACGCGACGGAAGGAATCCTTGACTTATTCTTATAAACTAGCAACAACGTGATGATTTCACGTGATAAATCGAAATCAGCCAAAATGGAGATTTTGGATTTTACGAGACTCGAAGGTCATGTTACGCATAAAAAAAAATTATTGAAGTAATTCCGTTTATGGCACCGTGAGAAAGAGATACAAATACAGCAAAGAAAGCCGCTTTCTTTGTCAAGAAACATGACATAAAATATGACATGAGACAGACGAGAGTTTTTTTTTTTTTTTTTTGAAATATTATAAAATCGTCAAAAAGTAACTTCATTTTAACCAACTTTTCCTTTTTTTTTTTTTCGTATAAAAAATAATAATAATAATAATAATTTTTTCCTATGACGAAAGGAACCCTTTGAAACTACACATTTCAAAATTAGGGTTAATAATAATAAAAAGAAAATTTGGAAAGAAAACAATTTACAAATTTCTTATGGACGTAAACAAAATGGTAATAAACCTGTCTATTTTCTTTCTCTTCGATAACCAATTCTTATATTGAAATAAGCAAATTCATTACATTTGCTAATATTATCGTATCATGCTAAATTGAATTGTTTATTATTGTTCTTGTTCCATTTCATTAGATAAACTGCTTCAATCAATCTCATAAGGGAACTTCTCGTTTCAGACATGAGATCCTTCCAAACTTAAATGTTCAATTGAGATGATTAAAAGAAGAAAAGATTTATGAACAAATTATTGAATTTTGGAATATAATTTTTTTTTTTTTTTACAAAGAACTTAACCACTAATTGAGATCAATGATTTAAAAGCAGTTCACAATTAATAATTAAATCCTCTTACATTAGATTATAATAGTATATGTATGCCAGCTATTTACATCTAAGTAATAAAAAAAATAATTACAAGAAATGACATCTTTCTCTTGGTAAGTTAACCAATCAGCACATGCAATGTCTCGCAATTCAAATCACAAAAAAGTCAACTCGACCTTCCTTTCACCATCACTTTCTATTATCATCATGTACTCTTCATCATCACTTGATTCTTGAGTGTCTACTTCTGTAGTATCATCGCTAATTTCCTCATTATCGTTATTACAATAAATCATTTGTTCCTTTAACCAACCCTTTACTTTCAAAGTACTTCGCTCCATTGTTGATTTATCAGGTTCTAAATCAATTGAACCCTTTTCATATTCGAACGTAATGGAAATGATCCTCGATGATAAAATATCGTTTTTTACCAGCTGATAAGGTTCACGCAATCTCACAATTATGACCCTACTATTCATCTCGATCAAATGCAATACATCTCCCATTTCTCTATCCAAAGCGTTTTTCTACGAATATATTAAGAAACTTTTTGATTAAATGATTAAAAATAATAATCTTTTATTTTTTCATGATATGCTTACCAAGATACCATTATAAACCAAAGCTCTGAAATATGCATGAAAGTATACCGTGGTAACGTCGTTCAACTTCAAATAATTTCCTTTAGACTGAAAGATATTAATAACTTTACATTTTGTATAATGTTCTTCCAATTTATCAACACATTCTGCTTGTTTTGCTCCGCGTATTGAACAATAAAGTGTAAAAGGTGGCTGCGATTTTTGAATATAATTTGTATAAAAGTTTGGAGTATTCGGCATAACAGAAAAGAACGAAAGTAACGTTAATGTTATTTATTATATGTAGATAGTAACATAAAAGATTAAAGGGAACTAAATTGTTATTATGAGGATTTTTTTTTTTTTTTTTTTAAAAAAAAAAAAAAAAATAAAAAAGAGAAAAAAAAAAGTAGAGTTTGTTATATTTAGTAATTTCATGTAATGTAATTTATTAGTAATAAACTTTTTGCATACGTGTAATTCGTATGTAATAAATAACGTTTGTAACCAACGATTAAATTGCTTGCGCAGTAAAGTGGTTTTTTCTTGTTCTCCTCTTTTCATTTTTTTTTTTTTTTTTAGTTACTAAAATAATTTACATAATGGACATTACTCAAACGAGTTTCAAAAAAGAAAAAAAAATTCATTTGACGTATTGCTTACGCCAGACAATATTAAGTCTACCATCACCCGAATATATCATCATCCATTTTGCTTGATTAATTGGGCGTTCTCGTATCCTCTCTTTCCACAATTTTTGGTTTTTTTTTTAGTCTCAAAACGCTTCAAAATTTAAAGTTGGACATAGTTGTAGTGCCAAGCTTGTTTTTTTTTTTTAATTTCCGCACCTGATAGGCGAAAATATGGATCATCCATTCCAAAGAAACCATAGCGTAATCCTCTAATTAATTGAGTGTAACCAAAATAGTAAGAAGGACAATAAGACTTGAACCTCAATAATAAATTTCTCAATTAAAAATCTTATATAACATTAAAAGATAGTATTTTGATATTTCTCCGTTTATTACAATATTACACAATTGTTGGACAATTATATATATATATATATATATATATATATACATTGTTTACGTTACTACTCACAATTTGGTCTGATTAAAAAAGGTGTGGATCAGTATATGACGAGAAAAATTAAAAAAAAAAAAAAAGGATAAAAAATTAAAGGTTTACCGAAAGCGACTTTAAACAAATGCAGCAATATTTTGAGAAGGTTCGACTTTTTGAAATCTAAACATTCTAAAAGGAGAATCCGGTTCATAAAAGGTATCTTCCCATTCACAAAATTTCTTGTAAAGATTTTCAGCCTTTGGACGATTCTTCCTATCACTATTCCAGCAATTTCTCATCAAGCTTGCATAACCATGAGGCATTAACTCTTTATCAAAACCGGGACGTAATCCGTTGAGGATATCCCTTTCAAAATTACGATTATTACCTCTATAACGCTTCGGTCGCGTATTAGTGGCCACCTGATACATGATTAATCCAAAGCTATAAATATCAGCTTTTTTGGTATACGCCTTACCTAATAATAATTCTGGGGCGATGAATGGTATCACTCTCCTTTGTGTTCTCACATTGGGTTCATCTACTCCACAATATCCAAAATCCCCTATAAATCCTGTAGATCGAACATCCTTTGAAACGAATACATTTCTGGTATGAATATCTCCATGGGTTAATTCTGCATTATGTAAGTTGGATAGACCATGTGCTATATCTTTAAGGATTCCTAACTTTTCTTTCCAAGTAATGGTTCTCCAATTGTCTTCTAAATAATTCTCAAGATTTCCGGCATTTATGTATTGCGTAACGATACCAAATTGATTTTTTTCATTCCTTGTCGCTCCAAAAACATGTACAAGATTTTCAGAACTACATATATATTACACATATATAATATAATATAATATAATATAATATATATATATACAGTACATACAGTATATATATATATTTATATATATATACATATATATATAATATTTTAAAAAAAAAAAAATTTTTTTTTTAAATTTTAATTTATCAAATCAATAGAAATTATAAAAAAAAAGATTCTCTTTATTGCGCAATTTATTTACCCAGAAGCTCTAGTACAAGCTTCAATCATCTTGAAGATGTTTACAAACTATTTATGTAGGAAATAATAATTATAATAAAAAAAAAAAAAAAAGTATTTATTTAATCATGGATTTTCATTTGATTAACTTTTTTGATAAATTTATCATGATACGTACCTCATCGAGAAATTCTTTGTTCGTTTTGAAAAATTTTACAACAATGACGCGTTCTCCTTCCCTATTGAATAGCCTATCACATAGGCTAACGCTCCTCGCTGGACCATCTTTCCAAATAGCGGAATGAATGTTCCCGATTCCTCCGCATGTAATATATTGTAAATTATCAAATTTATTAAAATCAATCCATTCAAGAAAATCATTATCAGCGATAGATCTACGTTGTGATGATTTGATAATTTCATCCACCAGATTATTTCCACTCGTATTATTCTGATCATAATCATTTTCTAAAACTTTGGCAAAAGTCCTCATCAATTCTTTCATGTTGTAATCATAATTGAAGGACATGATTTTCTTCACTTTTTTTTTTTTTTTTTGAACGGTTTATAATTTTTTTATTGGCAGAAAAAAAGAAAAATCACAGAAGGTGAATGAATGCTTTATTTACATCCCTTTATAAGATTATCCAAAAGATTTTTGTTTTAATTACTTTCCATTTAAGTAATCAATCTTGCTAAAAATGTATAGGTTGTACACAATACAATCCTGAAATCGCGTGACTCAAATGTGGAATTTAAGTTTTAAAAAAAAAAAAATAAAAAAAAAAAAAATTTATAATGATTCGCAATTTCACTTGAAATTTCCAATCATACGTATATCTATTCTTTTCATCCCCTTCAACCATATCATTTCGATTCGAAAGGAAAACATGTTTCGCGATTGGGATAAGCTTCACTGATATGATGTGTGGACAAATTCCTCCGAAATTTATGTTTTTATATCCTGCATTACGTAAGCAGAATTAAGATGATGGTGATTTATTTTATTTACCACAACTGATGAACCGAAATGATAAGATGTAACGCGCTCCACAACTTTTATTAATCATACAAAAGAAGTTTACGTGCAGTACATGTAATAAAAACTGGAATCAAATAACTTGACTGTTGAATTCTTTGGAAAAGTTCGGGATCTTTTACATCCATCTATTTTTTTACATGTTTCTTGAACTTTGAATCGGATCTTACATTTGTAAAACGTATTATTTATTCGTTTGACATGTATGAAATTTTTCTTGGATACAAACAATACTTGCCTACATTGCATAAGTGTTGATTTTTTTTTTTGGCATACAAACTAAAAATGGACAATACACATTGTCAATTAACTTTCACGTGAATTGGGCATCAACAAATGGTGTCATCTGTTCTGGTTGATCTTTTTTATATTAAATTCGAACTAACGAAAATTTCAAGTGATTTGAGAAATTTATCCCTATCGGTCAAAAAAAAAAATTCAACGACAAACTGAACTGATAAGAATTCCGCCGATTGACCGTTAAGTTCTGTGATACGTCTTAAACGAGTGTGTTTGTTCCTGCTATAATTATAATAAAAGTAATAAATAGTTTTACGACTCGGCTGAAAAATATCATTGCTCGGAGTAAGAAAAAAATTGATTACTGGTTTTGTGTCAAAACATGCTCGATGAGCTTAACTAATTCTCGTTATATAGCACATAAATCTCAACGCATTACAATCCTTCAATACTCGACACCAAATAAATCAACAGCACGTACGTAGACTACAGTGTTTTTTTGTGGCATTGATATACTATGTGAATCACTTTTATTTCTCAGTTAAGTAAAATCATCTTGAGTAGTAACTCTAATTTATTCTAGGAAAATAAGTCCTTTGTTGGTTAGTCTCCGCAATATCTCTCTGCTCACCTTGCTTATATGATTCACTCATAAATCTTCTCATTTATCATAAAATTAATGGAAGAAATCATGCAAGGTTACCAGGGGGTTCCACAAACCTGTATAGTATGATTTCGAATGGATGTATAGTATGTATGATATATATACTTTAAAAACTATACATGTATAATTTTTTCATAACAAATGTCCTTACTATATATACATGTATGAAAAAAACCATATTATACATGAATTCAAATCTATATTATACATATGACGCTCAAAGAAAATAATTATGTTGCTCAAGGATGGCAAAATTGAATTTATTGAATACAAAGAAGCTTGTGAATAACTCGAGCTACAACAATATTTTCGGTTCATCCTAAAGAGAATATTATTCAAAGTTAATTGAATGTTTTACATGAGAGATTTTAGTTGAAGAGTTATGTAAATAACTAATGGTCTGTCCGAGAGTCTTCTACGTAAATTTTTAATATTAATTTAATTAAAAATTTTTGGTATTCACATATACAATTACATTTATGATTTTTATGCAAAAAAAAAATAAAATAAAATATCATTAATTATAAAAATAACCTAAATTAACTATAATCCTAAAACTCTAATTTTACTCGTAATTAGTGTAGATAACCTTAACTTCGATGGGTAGTTATAAATAATTAACAATACTCGCTTAAATCCTAATCGTAATTTTAACTTAAATGTTAACGCTATTGTTTTATTATAATAAATCCTTAAATAAAAAATATTTTATCATTTTATAATTTTTTTTTTCCTTCTTTAAATATACACTTATTATTCTATTATAATATTTCTTTATTCTTTTAAAATAATATATTTATCATTCTATTAAAATAATTCTTTTATCATTTCTTTAAATAATATACTCATAATTTTAATTAATAAATTTCTTTAAAATAATTAAATATATTTTTTTTTTTTAGAATACTTTATTTATTATTTTATTAAGATAATATTTAATTTTTTTTTTAAAATAATAATATTATTTTATCGGAATCATCCTTCTTTAAAATAATGTTTTATCAGAGCTTTGAATTTAATTCACTTATATAGAATTTACGTTAACTTGATTTTTTTGAATTAAATTAAATTTATACATTATTTTATTAATTCAAAATTTTAAATATACTTTAATTATAATTAATTGCAAAAGATTATAATATATAAAATTTAATATTGCAATCTCTTATTAAATACTTTACAATCATCTTTAAATTCTAAATCTTGATTTATTATTAATTATTTTAATTAATTTAAAAAATATGTAAAAATCAGCATTAATTTTGTTAAAACTTTAACAATAATAGTTTATATTAAAGATGCTTTACTTATATTTAATACTTTTAATAATAATAAAAATATATTTTATATCTCAAAATTATAAAGTTTGATAATAAATTACTAACCACTAAACATTAATTATACTAAAATTAAAAAAAAAATTTTTATTAAATCTTACTTATTTATTAATATTTTATAATAAAGCAATTTAAAAAAAAAAATTTTTAATTAAAATATTTTATGAAAAAAACATTAATTACTAATATTTAGATATTTTAAAAATTAAAGTTTTTTTTTAAAAAAAAAACATAATATATTTTATTAATAATAATTAGATTTTTTAAATATTTAAATTTAATCATATTTAATTTAAAGATTAATATTTAAATAATAAATTTACCAATAAAATTTAAAAAATAAAAATTAAAAATTAATAATATTATAATATAATTTGTAGTGTAAATATTTTAGAATTTAAAATATGAAATAATTTTATTTTCAATTTATGATCATTAGAATAAAAATTATAATAAATTATATTAAAAATTATAAAATTAACTTAAAATCAACTAAATTATTTAAAAATTAAATTTTATAAGATTAAAAAATAAAATTATAAAATAAGATAAATTTTAATTTATAAAAATCATTAATTATACATATATATCAAATATAGTAAAGTAAATAATAAATAACTGTTAATTATACAATTATATAATTATATTCTATTATATAATTTTAATTTACTGATATTTAAATATAATTAGATTTAGATTTTAGCATTTAATCAAACTTTTATTATTATAATATTTTATATAGTTAATTAAATTAAGTCAATATTAGGCAATTAAACAATTTTGAATAATTTTAGATAGTTTTAGACAGGTTTTAGACACTTTTTTTATGTTTAAAACCTTGTTTAAAACTATTAAAATTTAAAAATATGTTTAAAACCCATCACTAGATTAAATGATTTTTATATCTTATCGTCAAATATATTTAAAAATTAAATTTGATTTCTATCTCCTAGTAATAATTTAATTAAATAATATTACAATATATAATATAGTCTATTATTTATTTATATAAAATCTTACTATTTAAAGATATATGATAGTATTTATTATAGACCTATTAATTAAATTAAATTTTTGTTGATTTTTAATATCAAATATATCAATATATTCTTTAAATCTAATATTTAGATATATTAAATTAATTGACAGATTAATCATCAATTTATAATATATTTTACTATTATTAATAACCTTATTATAAAAATTATTATGCTTTTTTATCAATTAAATTTTAGTTTTTTTGAATTAAATATTGAATTTTTAGATATATTACTATAAATTCAAATGGATTTATTATTTAAATACTAAAAAATAGTATTGTAATCTTAAAAATTATCAGATTATTAGGATTTTTTATCAATAAAATACTAAAAAATTTAATTCAAATTTCAAAAATTATCAGAATATTAAACTTTTTATTAATAATATACTATAAAAAATATCAATTAAAAAATATAATTATTTTAATAAAAATAATTTAATATACTTATAAATATTTGCATTAAGTTTAATCTTACCTTTAATATCTAATAGAAATAGTATTTCAAAGATAAATTAATTTATCTTTTAATTCTTCTTAATTATTTTTTTATTGAAATTTTTTAAAATAAATCTCTTTATTATATTTTTAACTTAGTCAATAGTAAATTGTAATATTCATTATCTCATGAATATTCTAATAGATAAATCTAAAAAAACTCATAGCAATCCTTCAATTTTATTTAAAATATAATATTATTATATAGGATAATTTTTAATTACTTATTTATTAAACTATTATATAATTTTAAAGCATTTATTTCTAATTTTTCATTTCTTTTATAGTATTATTAAGTATAGTATAAAGTTTTGAAAAATTAGTATTATTTAAAAAATTATAATTTCAATTATAATTTAGAATTTTAATTAACGTCTTATTAAGGTAATAGTATTTTTTAAGAAATCTTTTGAGTATTTTTTACTTTTTGTTATTTTCATACTATATATAAATTTACATATTTTATTTTTTATTTATTTATTAGAAAAAAATAATTCTAAGGTATAGGTAAAATCTACATTTTTATGTTAAGTATTTAAAATATTAATTAATTTATTAATACATCTAATTGTATTAAATAATATAGGACTTTGTTAAACTTTTGAAAATTTCTCAACTATAGTTTGAAATAGGTCTAAAATTTATTAATTATTAAAATTTAGCTTTAATATATAAAATTACTTACAATTTCATTAATAGAATTTAGTTTGCA